GTAAGGGCAGATTACAAAAGCTGCAGTAGAAGTGTACAGCAGGTACCCAGTATCTGCTAAACAGCAATAGTGTAGCAGTACAGCATGTTTTCTGCATGGTCATAGCTTCAGCTAAAGAGCTATTCAACTGTTTGTAATGGGACCCATAGCTAAATAATTATAAAACCCCTTAGCTTTAAGAATATTCTACTACTAAAATGTGTCAGTCTCAAATATAAGCTAAGGGTGCCACGATATCATTCAAAATGCATTGATAATATTTATAATGATGGTTGGAATCAGGGGCGGACTGACAACTCATGGGGCCCCCGGGCAATAGGGTATCATGGGGCCCCTGTGTCCTTGCCCAAACTCAAAAAAGCCTATGAAAAAGGTACCAGGGGCATCTCATGGGGACCCCTACTGACCCCGGGCCCTCGGGCAGTGCCCGAGTTTCCAAATGGTCAGTCCGACCTTGGTTGGAATCTTTTACAGCTTTATTTTGATCTACATTGTTTGCAGTGTGTGTGAATGATCTCTAGATAAATCAAGACCAGCTAGATAAGCACTGGACCTGAGCTACTGGATCACATTGCACTCTCTTGATCTTTTTTTATAGCTATAATTTTTGCTTTGCTCATTTCTACAACCTTGTTTAACCACTTCAATACAAAGCACTTTTACCTTCTTCCTGCCCAGGGCAATTCTCAGCTTTCAGTGCTGTCACATTTTAAATGACAATTACTTAGTCATGCACCACTGTACCCAAAATTAAATGTTATCTTTTTTTCAGACAGATAAAGCTTTCTTTTGGTGGTATATAATCACCACTGTTTTTTTTTTTATTTTTTGAGATATATGCGAAAAAATACCAAAAAGTTGGGGAAAAAAAGTTTTCCTTAGTTTCTATTATAAAATTTTGCAAATGGGTAGTTTTTCTTTATAAATGTATGCCAAAATTTACACTGCTACATTTCTTTGGTAAAAATGACCCAAATCAGTGTATATGATTTATTCTGCATGAAGGTTATACAGTCTACAAGAAGTCATTTCTAGAGGACCTAAAATGCCAGGACAATACAAATCCTCCCCAAATTAACCCCTTTTGGAAAGTAGACAGTACAAGGTATTTAGTAAAACTCATGGAGAGTTTTCTTAAGTTGTAATTTTTTCCCATAATTGTTAAAAAAAAAAAAAAATCAAGAAATTAAATAACATTTTTTCTTTTTTTCCGCAAAATATTCACAAGTTATTTTTCTCACACAGCATAGGCATACTTGCAATTACACCCCAAAATAGGTGTTCTGTGGATATAAATTACACATTTAATTTTCTGACTACCTATCACATTTTTGAAAGCCCTGGAGCACCAGGACAGTGAGAACAGCCACAAAATGACCCCATTTTGGAAAGCAAGCACCCCAATGTATATTCTATAAAGCATAATGAGTCTTTTGAACATGCATTTTTTTTCACAATATTTTGGAAAATGTGTAAAAAAAGAAAAAAAATTATTTTACAAAGTTGTCGATTTATAAGATATTTCTAAAACACAGCATAGACGTAGCAAGAATTACACCCCAAAATATATTCTGCTACTCCTCCTGAGCATGGTGATACCACATGTGTGAGACATCCAGATGCATAATTATAAGACAACATCGGACAGGGAAACTTTTTCTTTAAATATATCTACATCAACTGCAGTTCGCAATGGCCAAATTATCGAAATGAGAGACCAAAATAAGCAGCCTCCCCTCTATATATCTGAGTTTAAATACTAACCGCACCTTGATCAGATTGACTTCCCATTAATGTGGGTGTTTTTTTCATTAGTTCAGCACCTGACAGAGGGAGGGAAACTCCCAACTCATCAAAGACGTCCTTCACTGAACTTCCGGGCCTTCGTGACATCACTTCTGGAGCATGCTCCATATTGCGGCGTCATTTCTGGTCAGAAGTGGCCAACGCCAACACGTGTGTACGTCCCATTATTGCATACCAACAGAGTCACCATACGGAAAGCGGGCAAAAAGATGGAAAAACAATGGCCCAATGTCAGAATAAAAGGTGGGAAAAACTCAAAGGACAAAAAGTACACCTCTAAGGGACAGGGGGACCAAAAAAAAAACCCACTCCAAAGGGAACCAGTGTGTAGGGGCTACACATGCCGGAAGCATCACAGCAACCTATTCTTTTAGGAGGGACTGCTTCTTCCTCTAATACGGTCACTGATCCACCACTTTTGACTGGCTCGTATGTTGAATCGGAATCGAGCGGTTAGAGCGTCCTGTTGCTCTCATTTGCCATACTGAGGATTTAAATTAGTATACAATTTTTTTGGACATGGTGGCTGTATGATGGTTAAACTGCTGATGGGCAGCAGTGATGGCAGCTCTATGACGGGTACATTGATCAGGATGCACTGATGACAGTTACACTGATTGATGCGCTGACAGGTACACTGATTGATGCGCTGACAGGTACACTGATTGATGCGCTAACAGGTGCACTAATTGGCTGCACATTGGCATTTTAAACCAAAGTGTCACACAAGTGTCGCAGGCCAGGCAAAAGGAGACTATGTTTTGTTCTGTACCTAGGTCTGTGATCCTCTGTGTCTGAAAGCACACCACTCTGTTATCTAACACCTATGCACGCATGGCAGATGTTTAGAACATGCAGGTACATCTACACACATCGGCAAAGCTTCCGGCTGACTGTTTACATTCATCTGCCAGATGGTAAGCTGCTCAGACTTAGTTTTTCCTCCTTTGTTTGGAGCACTCCTGGACCTAAATTGAAATTAACCATGCTACAAAGACCTAAAAGGGAAGCTGGAATTGCCCTGCTGTATATCTTCTTAATATTACTTTCAGGACAACTGAAACAATTTGTCACATGGGTCCTCCCTGATGTTCCCTTTACCCTGATGCACAACTAGCATGTGCCCTGGAGGAAAAAGATAATTGTTGATAATCATAGAGGCTCCCATATTATGATCTTGCAAACACCACCTTCCCATTTTGAAACTGGTTAGATCAGTGTAGACGAATGTCAAACGTTCATCTTATATCAGGATCTTCCAGACAGTTTGTCCTTATAGGACAACTCTATATTAGAACAGCTTTGTATAATTCCTGATACTGCCTTATGGCATTCCTTTGACAATCCTATCAAATGTCTATCAGGAGGGAACAATATATTCTTTCACAAATCTCTCTCTAAAGAGAAACAAGAATTTCCCTGCAGCTTCTATAGATTTCTTCCAACCATGCCAAATGCCACAATAATCACAGCCAATTTATGTTCACCACTTTGTATTAATTAATAAATGTATTCAATAATGACTCATAGGAGACTGTCAGGGATTTTTTTTTAGTTCTATATTATTTATATGCTGCATATATATCTTCATATTCATGTGCCTACGGTATATACTTATGTACAACTGTTCGTACTCAATAAAAAAAGTGTTTACAATATTTAACACAACATCACGCTGCATTGCCACTGCAACCCTGCTAAATAGTGGATATGGCTTGCTAAAATAGTATGTAGCAATAGTATGTGAGTGGCCACTATAGCATTCTAAAAGCATTGCTCAGAATACCTTAGGAAACTATTGAAAGTTGATGATTCAAGTTCAGTGTATTTTCTGTGAACTGAGCAGCTGCCCCCAATGTTCACTTCCAGTTGTACCTCTATGTATTTATACACCTCATTTTTTTTTTGTTTAACTGCTGAAGCTCTGGAAGGTTTTACCTCTTTCATTATCAGGCCATTTTTTTGTGATACTTAAATTAGCAATTGTGCAATCTTGCAACACTGTACTCAAATTAAATTTATATCATTTTTTTTTCAAACAAATAGAGCTTTCTTGTTTTGGCATGTGATCACCACTGGTTTTTTTTATTATATTAACAAAAAAATATAATAAATTTGAAAAAAAAATATTTTCTACTTTCTGTTATAAAACATAACCAATAAAATCAAATTTCTTCATAAATTGAGGTCAAAATGTATTCTGCTACATGCCAATAGTGTATATTTATTGTTTTGTGTGAAAGTTATAGCGTCTACAAAAACTATGGCATATATATAGTTGAAAATTCATTAATCCTAATGTACTGACTGCCTCTATCTCGCTTCCTGAGGTTCTATAATGCCAGGACATTACCACCCAAGTAACCACTTTTTGGAAAGTACACAGTATTTAGTAAGAGACATGCCAAGTTTTTTAAAGTTGTTATTTTTTTGTCACAATAATATGGAAAATTAGGAAATTAAATAATTATTTCCTCACATTTTTTTAACATACTGTCACCAGTGCAGAACAGCATTATCATATGACTGCTGTGGCAGTGATTAGGGACACTGACTGGTAACAGTATATAAAAAAAAGATATATTTTTAAATAATATTTGTTAAATTTTTTTTAATATTACATTTTTTTATAATTTTTTTTAATTCATCATTTTTTCATACTTTCATCAGAGTAGTTTAGTATCACCATAGTAACACTGTACTACTCTGGGGGAGTGATCATGGATTTTTATTTTCAACCAATGAAATTCACTGTAACAGCTATGTTTTAAACTGTCATGAATGTGTTACATTCATGACAGATGTGATTTTACAATTATGAACTGTGATTGGCCCACAGCTATCACATAGTACAGGGTGCTGTGGCTGGCCCATGTACCATATGATAGCTGTGGGCCAATAACAGCTCACTATGGGAAACACAGCTGTTATGAATGGAATTAATTCATAACTATCTATCTGTTAGTCACTGTTATGGGCAAGGGTTTCTTTAACCACTTGCCTACCAGGCACTTATACCCCCTTATGTACCAGGCCAGTTTTCAGCTTTCAGAGCTGTCGCAATTTGAATGACAATTGCGCGGTCATGCAAGATTGTACCCATATGAAATTTTTATCATTTTTTTTTATCACAAATAGAGCTTTCTTTTGGTGGTATTTAATTGCTGCTGGGTACTTTACTTTTTGTGCTATAAGCAAAAAAGTGCAAAAAAAGTTTCTTTGTTTCTATTATAAAATTTTTCAAACAGGTAATTTTTCTCCTTCACTGATGTGCGTTGATGAGGCAGCACTGATGGGCACTGATAGGTGGCACTGATGGGCACTGATAGGCAGCACTGAAGGGCACTGATAGGCGGCACTGATAGGCAGCACTAATGATGTGGCACGGATAGGCTGCACTGATAGGCAGCACTAATGAGGTGTCACGGATAGGTGGCACTGGTATGCGACACTGATTGGTGGCACTGATAGGTGACACTGATAATGGGTACTGATAGACAGCACTGATAGGTGGCACTGACATCACTGCTGGCACTGACTGGCGGCACTGACTGGCACAACCGCTGGGCACTGACTGGTGGCACTGACTGGCAGCACTGCTGGGCTGCACTGATGGGTGGCACTGGTGGGCACAGGTGGGTGGAACTGGTGGGCACAGGTGGGTGGCACTGGTGGGCACAGGTGGGTGGGCAAGGTGGGTGGCACTACTGGGCACAGGTGGGTGGGCACATGTGGGTGGGCACAGGTGGGTGGCACTGCTGGGCACAGGTGGCTGCATTGCTGGGCACAGGTGAGCACACTGCTGGGCACAGGTGGGCGGAACTTGTGTGTGGCACTGCTGGGCACCGATCATCAGGGCACTGATGATCAGTGATCCTGATGATCGGTGCCGATCCCCGCTCTGACAACTGCCGGTTTTCGGCAGCACTTTCCTCACGCTCTGACAGCGTGAGGAAAGTGCAGCCGAGAACCGGCATTTGCATTTCCCGGTGATCAGCGTGTCATTGGACACGGCTGATCACGTGGTAAAAGGCCGCTGTGATTGGCCTTTTACCACATCACGTGATCAGCTGTGTCCGTAGGACACAGCGATCACGGAGATTGCCGGGTGCGCGCCCCCGGGAGTGCGCAGGAGAGCGCGTTCTGGGAGGACGTCATATGACGTCCACCCAGAACTGGCCGGCCGCAGTGCAGCCGTCATTCGGCTATCTGCGGTCGGCAGGTAGTTAAGCCATGGCTTCATTTTATTGTATTAGCCAAATTGTTTTCTTTTATTTGGAAACACTGGATACACTTTGCTTAGGCCTAAGAGCAAGTAAACCAGAATGACCACCCTGGAAAAGGGGCATCGGAAGGTGTAACATTCATCATCTACGGTCCTAACACAGGCAGCTGCTGTAATAATACTTTTATGCTTCATGGCTCAATAGAATTTAATAATGAAAGCACATTATGGATACATATTTCAAGCTATAATAGCTACACCCAGCACCCCCAGCACACTTAGTACAGCAGGAGCTTCTTACCTTGGGATCATGGAGAAGCAGGCTTTTATTCAGTGCTCAATGTACAGGAGCACACCGCCAAAACCGGACCTGCCCCCCTTTGCCTGAGCAGTAGCACTCATTCCCAGTCGGTTGGCCCTGAGCTGACAGAGCAAAGCCATATTTTCAATGGGCATTTTTCTCCTTTCACAGACATTTACAATGTTCACAGAAGAGTGTCGGTTTTTTATAAACCATCCATAAACCTGTGGAAGGTTGGCATCAATGCTACTGCTTGACTTGAGTATATGCATCCCTATTACCTATTTGTCAAGCATACATGCATAATGGCAACAAAATAGAAATTACCCTTTAGTGAATTGTAGGGAATAAATAAGTGATTTACGATTAATCATTTTAGTAAGTACACAAAACTGCTTTTGTTATTAGGCTTTTCTAGCTAGCTGTAATAGTACAGCATTAATATTTTTTGGTATAGTAATTGCTATGACTATTAGTGTTGGGCATGATGTTCGAGTAGAACACACAAACGGTAAGGGTATTTGGCAGGCTATTCGCCCACTGTGCCCCACAGTGCACTGCGCCCTGACAGTGCATTGTGATTAGCCAAAACAATGCACCTGATCACAGGTCAGGTGCAATGCTTTGGCTAATCACAGCGCATGATCACATCACTAGGTGGCAGGGTGACCCCACCCCCCTTATGACATCATCACTGTATTTAAGAACTGTCATTGCGGCTAAGCTGTCAGATGGCTGGGAGCAAGCATTCGGAGCAGAGTGTTTTTTTTTTCTTTTTTCGGGTCTGCAGTGGTGGAGGGCATCATGATTGATGTTGGATCTACTTCAGGGGGCATTTTTTTTTTTTTTTTTAACCACTTCACGTGTATATAAATGGCTGGACGAGAGCAGTGCAGGGGCGGGTTGCCGTTCATAAATAGCGCCCGCCATTTTAGCCTGTGCGTTCTCCCTGGGATCGCTCAGCACCGCAATCCGGTGCCCGCTGTCTCCGGAGGACACAGCGGAACACCGATCGCTGTACAGGACCTCAGTTTGAGGTCCCGATCATTTGATCACTGATTGGCCAATCAGTGATCACATGAATAGTAATAAGCGAAATCTGTGAATGATCACAAAGATCACATGGTACAAGGCTATTCACAACAGCCTTCTACAAGCTGTGGCCAATCACAGCTCTCACAGTATTTCTCAATGATGCAAGAATGCAGCCAGAGAGAAAGAGAAATGATTGCTTTTACAGCCTTTATGGGTATAACAGCAATCAGTGCAAAAAAAAAAAATCATCACTCCCCACAAGTAGTACAGTCACTATGTTCACACTGTACTGCTAGCATGACAGTATGTTTAAAAAAAAAAATAAAAATAAATAATAATATAAAAAAAAAAATAAAAATGTAAAACATTGTTTGAAAAATTATAATTTTTGGTTATAAACTAATTTGGGTTATTTTTTTTTATTAAAAAGATAGCTGGATAAGTTTTGGCCAAGATTTATGAAGAAAGATTATTTTTAAAAATTGTATAAGAAAATGTTTGGACATTTTCATTTATATAGCAAACAAAATAAAAATCACAGTGGTGAATAAATACCACCAAAATAAAGTTTTATCTGTCTCAAAAAATGCTAAAAAATTCATATGGGTACAGTGTTGTATGACCGCGCAATTGTCATTCAAAGTGTGACAGCGCTGAAAGCTGAAAATTGGCCTGGGCAGGAAGGGGGTAACAGTGTCCAGATTGCAAGTGGATAATAAAGGACTTGTCAAAGACTGTCTACTATCATTTTGTACACTACACTTTTTTTTTGTGACTGGGTAGTGGTACCATGTATCCTATACTCATTCACACAGGAGGGGGGGGCGGGATCTGGGGGCCCCCTTGTTAAATGGGGCTTCCAGATTCCGATAAGCCCCCTGCCTGAAGACCCACACAACACTGGCCACAGTTGTGTGGAAGAGGCCCTTGTCCCCATCAACATGGGGACAAGGTGCTTTGGGGGGGAGCCTCCCCTTGCCCCAAAGCACCCCCCTATGTTGAGGGCATGTAGCCTGGTATGTTTCAGGAGGGGGGCCACTCGCTTGTAACCCCCCTCTTTCCTGACCTGCCGGGTTGCATGCTTGAATAAGGGTCTGGTATAGATTTTGGGGGAAGCTTACGGCATTTTTAAAAAAACATTTGGAGTGGGGGGGTTCCCCTTCAGGTCTGGTATGGATGGGGGGACCCCACGCATTTAAAACAAAAATTGTTTAATTCTTTTTACATTCAGCTATCAGTGGGGATTCCCACTGACAGCTGAAAAATTAATGAATGTTTTGAGTAGCTGCATGGTAGATGCGGCGTTCCCTCTGTTCAAAGTTCACGGTCAAATTTTCGATTGGTTCTAATGTTCGACCGCGAACTGAGCAGGGGGGGTGTTTGGCCCATCACTAATAAAATCAAGCACCTAGGCATGCAGACTGCTTCTAGAAACATTTGTGAAAGAATGGGTCACTCAGTGAATTCAAACGTGGTACCGTTATAGGTTGCCACCTGTGAAATAAGTCCATCCTTGAAATCTCTTTGCTACTAAATATTCCACAATCAACTGTTAGTGGTATTGTAACAAAGTGGAACCAACTGGAAACAACCATTTTTGTGGTAGGCCATGTAAAATGACAGAGCGGGGTCAGTGCATATTGAAGCGCACAGAAGCGCAAGTCACCAACTCTCTGCAGAGTCAATAGCTAAAGACCTCCAAACTTCATGTGGCCTTCAGATTAGGACAACAGTGCATAGATAACTTCATTGAATGGGTTTCCATGGCTGAGAAGCTGCATCCAATCGTCAACCTCACCAAGTGCAATGCAAAGTGTCGGATGCAGTGGTGTAAAACATGCCTCCACTGGACTCTAGCGCAGTGGAGACTTGTTCTCTAGAGTGACCAATCACGCTTCTCTGTCTGATAATCCAATGGATGTGTCTGGGTTTGGTGGTTGCCAGGGTAACGGTATTTGCCTAATTGCATTGTGCCAAGTGTAAAGTTTGGTGGAGGGGGGATTATGGTGTGGGGTTGTTTTTCAAGGGGTGGGCTTGGCCCCTTAGTTCCAGTGAAGGGAATTCTTAAGGTGTCAGCATACCAAGACATTTTGGACAATGTCATGCTTCCAACTTTGTGGGAACAGTTTGGAGATGGTCCCTTCCTGTTCCAACAAGACTGCGCTCCAGTGCACAAAGCAAGGTCCATAAAGACATGGATGAGCATGTTTCGGGTGGAGGAACTTGACTAGCCTGCACCTCAACAGGATAGAACACCTTTGGGATGAATTATAGCGGAGACTGTGAGCCAGGCCTTCCCGTCCAACATAAGCGCCTGAACTCACAAATGCGCTTCTGGAAGAACGGTCAAACATTCCCACACTCCCAAACCTTGTGGACAGCCTTCCTAGGAAAGTTGAAGCTGTTATAGCTGCAAAGGGTGGGCCAACTCAATACTAAACCCTATGGACCAAGACTGGGATACCATTAAAGTTCATGTGCATGTAAAGGCAGACATCCCAATAATTTTGGCAATATAGTGTATTTCCCTTATTAAAACATGCAATCTTTGTCAGCGCTGTATAAACTGTATTTAGCATCAACTAGTATACAGTGCTGTGTTCTGGCAGCAGTATTGGGACTTCTTGTCCTGTTCCTAGAACAAAATCAATTTGGACTAAGTGTTGCTCAATCATTCGGGAAGTCTTGTATTTTTTTGAATATATGATATATAGTATATGAAAGTAGCACTACCCACCAGGGAAATCACTTTGTTTGATGGGTCCTCTTTTCTGCCACAACTCTTAAGCTGCTTGTTCCCCACTGACACATCTGGTATTGATTGATGGCCACTCACACCTGTGTAACTGAATCATTAAGATACTATCACATTATAGGAGTACACAGAAGATAGACCACAATCAATTAGATGGTAAATAAAAGTAATGTAAAATGGCAAGGCAGTAAAACAATGTATGAATCAGTAAACATGCAATTGAACATGGCTAAAGAAACTTTACTAGAAATTGTGAGCACTGACCCATAAGATAGCAATCAACTGAACTGTAGTAATGCTAAACCAAAACGTAACTGATGCAAACACGGTTGAAAGTATCTGCATTAAATAACCCAAAAACAAATGTCCTTGTGTGAAGACTACACATAAAGCCCCAGTAGTGGGTGTGTATACATTCTTGACAAAGATTTACCCCTGAGTTCCCCTGCAAAGTACCTAAATCCTAATT